CTCAAGATACCGATCAGTTCGTCTGCGTTTTCTAGAACCCTTTAAACAGATGGAAGAATATCAACTAAAAATTGTCAGTAGCTCTCTAAATAAAACTAAAATTACAGCCCTCCCTGGTGGCGCAGCGGGTTAAAGCACAGCACAAAGAAGCTAAAGCCACTTCAGCATGAGTTCGATCCCTGCCCTAGAGGAGATCCACATGGCGTGGCAGACCTCTCCTGGCCCACTCGCTGCTCACCTCAGCAGTGTACTTCATAGATCTGCCTATTCTGCCCCCCACTCTGTCTCCTGTGAAGCCTCTCACCCTCCGCATCACTAGCCTATACCCCAGTTCTGTACGAATAAATAAATCTTAAAAAAAAAAAAAACTAAAATTACAATGAGGATTTTTAGTGTGGGGAAAAAAAAAATGGACCAGGATGAAGTCCTATTCTGTGGTTTCCTTCTCTTTGGGCAGATCAGAGTGTTTTTGGACATGAATGATTATTCAATTCCCAGCTCCAGTTTGCAGTTTTCTGGAAAATATTAAATACCTGCCCTACCCGAGTCCCTAGTTGTTAGGAAGAGTGTTCCTGGTGAAGACTGTGCTGGCAGCTGTAGGAACAAGTGGTGGGAATCAGGTGTGTCAGCGCATGCGTGAGGAGCTCCGTTACTCCTTCCAACAACCAGTCAAGTATAGATCTTGTTTTTTACAGGTAGTAACTGCGTTCCAGAGAAGTCACTTTTTTTAGGTGACCCAGCCAAATAGAGCTGGGATTCTACCACCCACGGGACTCACTCAGAGGCAGCACCACCCTACCACCACCCAGTTAGATCCCAATAAGCTGTTTAACCAGCATCTGGCAACTGACATGTCCCACGTCAGTGCTGGACCAAGTCTTTAAATTCAGCAAAAAAGAAGAGGGCAGACTTCTCTTTCTCTTCTGTCCTACTGTTGCTGTTTTGCTTCACACCTAGGTTTGTCCAGATTATAGAGAAAAAAAGTTCTTGCTCAGGTGTGTAAACACTTCTGTGGGCTAAAAGCAAGGGGGTTGTGTCACTGGGAGGGGAAAGCTAACCCATCTCTGCTTATGCACAATTGGCTCAACCCCGTTGCAAAGGCTTATGTCATCGCAGGGGGCCCAAAGCAGAAATCAGCACATCAGGATCTCCTGAAGGGCTTGATCAAACAAGTTACAGGCTCCACCTGCAATAGCTTGACTCAGTCTTCGGTGGGGCCAAGAATGTGCCTAACAGGTTCCCAAATCATGATGAGGGTGCTCAGATCTCCTGTCATGTGGATTATTTTGGTTGAGGTCAATCAAGGCCCTGTAGGGTCACCAGAAAACCTAAAATCCCCCCCAAATACACACCCTACTTCGAAGAGTGAAAATCAGGTGTATTACCCAGAACTGTCCTTTCTACTGAAGAAACAGACCTGAGCATCTGGTCTTGGTGATTGCCCTCCTCCCCTTAAACCTCAGGCCTTGGTCCATTCCTTAACACTACATGTTCTGCCCCCCTGACCCCCCTCCACATTCCCCTCACTCTGCTCATAACCGCCTCATCCCCCCCTTATCCCTCGCTGAATTGGAATTCTCATTTTCTACATTGATTCCCAAGAGGTATGTAAAATTGGCCTTTTTCTCCTGTAAATCTGTCTGATATTTTAATTACTTGGCCAGCCCAAGAAGCACCTAGAAGAGTTAGAGGGACATTTCCCCTTCCTGCCATGATTGTATGAGCAGCCGCATCACTATAATTTCTGCTACCTATTACGGTGTTGTTCTTGGTTCTACCCGCTTCTCAGATTAGTTACTGAACAAAAATGCCTTAAGTGTTTGAGGAGGCCCCCAAGATGATGCAACTTATGAGGCAAGGGACTTGGATGAGAAAACGAAGGGAGTCATTTTGGAAAGTGGCCAAGATCACACAGCTATCGTAATGCTGGAGCCCAGCCCCAGGTCCAGGGCCCTCCCCTCAGTCTGCCAAGGAACTTTCTTTTCAGCTAGAGATCCCTGAAGCAAGCAGAGGTCAGAAGGCAGCCAGCACTGAGAACAGAGGGCCTAGGGAGACGTGGAGGACAGGCCCCTCCCTTTACGCCTCGCCGGGAGGTGTGCTGAGCTGCAAAGACTTGAAAGGCACAGGGAGAGAAGGACAGAAAAGCAGTGCAGTGGATGTTGCTTCTTCGTAAATGAGCCAGTCTGAGCAAGAGGCATGAGGGAGCAATGTCCTTACTTACACTGAACCCCCAAAGCCCAGGAGACAGTAGAGATCAGTAAGCTCTTTCTCTTCTCGTTACTATTAATTCAACCTGGTAGATTCTGCTTTCGAGTTTACAAGCACCTTCACAACAGGAAAGCCTTAGAGAGCTTAGTTGTAAATTCTGAAGTGAGGAAACTTTCTTGGTTGTCACCAAGCCAACAGTCTACGCGTGAAGGTTGAAGAGTAGTTGCAAGACAGGAGCCCCGCTATCTCTCCAGCCTGAACGCTTCTCTGGGAGCCCCGTTTGCCTGGCTTCCCCTTCACCCCCCAACCCCAGCAGGCCCCTCCCCAGTGCTGTTCCCATTCATCTTTTTTTAGAGAAGTTCTTAGTTCCTGTCCTGTTCATTTTTTTAGAAAGCGAGGTGAGAGCAAGATGGAGAATTTTTGGAATCACTAACTACAGGGGCACCTGCCACCCCACCCCACGCCACCCCAGGACGGCAGGCTCAGGCTAGCTCAGCAAAGGGATCAAGGCCTCTGGGGCTCTCAGTAGGGGGGCGGCTGAAGGCCAGGGAGGCAGGCGAACCTCCTGACCCTCTTTGCTTGTGCTGGCTCGCACCCTCTCTTTCTGGCTTTCTCTTTCCCTCTGCTCTGGGCCAGAGACTGGCATTCTCCATCAGTTTAGTGGCTTGCTAATCTCCGGCTTTTCTCGCAGCCTTTTTTCGCTAATCTCTAGCCTCAAAGCCTCCCTTCCCCCGGTGTTCGTTCGTCTGGTCTCGGGAGTCCGACAAGCAGTCGCTGCCCTTTTATCCCGTGAGCCCTGGGCCCAGGTGTCCATAATCCTGGGAAGCCCGCTAGGCCGCAGGCGTGGGCCATGGGGGCCAGGTGCATGGAGGGCAGGAAAAACCCGACTACCTCATTGCCTACAGAGGCCTGAAGTGCTGAAGCAGAGAACCAGCCTCAGGTAGACAGGCAGCATGTGGGAGGCAGGGGTGCCGGAGGATGGCAGCAACCAAGCCTCCAGTCACCCACCCCCCCACCAGACACCCCCACCCCCATCTCCAGGCTCCCTCTGGCCTCTCTCTGGTCACCTGATCTCCTCAGGCTGGGTACTTACAGCGTGCTGAGCCGTCAGTCCGCCTTCTTGGCCCGGGTGCTGGTACTTGGGCCTTGCTCATGCGCCCAAGTACTTTTTTGCAATAACATGTTATCACGTGTGGGGGATGAAAGGCGGGAGGAAGCAAGGCCACAGGTGGCCACTGTAGAAGCTGAAAGCGGGTTGGTGAGAAACAGCCCGAGCCACTCCATTCGGCCTACACCAACGCTGCATTTATGGAAGGAAAACAGAAATGGGGCCCCAAGGTTGCTAACATGACCCTGCCCTTGACAAATGACACCAGCCCTACCAACCAGGCTGTGTAAAGATGTCAAAACAGCACAGCCTGCCCGCTCCCCACCCCCCAAAACCATCCAGTCAGCTGGGGATGGGAGCTTCGGACAAGTCAGCCATCTCCTGGGACACTGGCTCCTCCAAGCCTGTGCTTTCCAGACTCCTACCTCTAGGGACTGATTTGTGAGTGGTGGGGAGCCAAACCCGAGTCTGGCAAAAAGAAAACACTGACATTTCCTACAACTAATAGTGTCTCCCTGCTCCCCCACCCACGCCCATGCCAGCATGTGGGAGCACATTCAAGCTTGGTAACCCAGATCCTTCATCCTTCACCCCACAATGTTCCCAAGAGAGACCATCCCTGTAGGTTCTCTCCTCGAATGTCTCATCCCACATCTTCCCAGCACTGCCTGGGAATCTCTGAAGTGGAACGATCACACCGCTTCGCTGCTGAACTTAGTGAGGCCCCTACTCCTACCAGAGGCCAGGCTAAATCATTTCTGAAGTCTTTATAAAGAATCCTGTGTGTCCTCGGTTTTCAAGTTCTTTTCCAGGTAGTAGAGTCCCTGAGGCTAGCAGGGGTGAGTAGGGCTGAGCACAAGTTTACAAATTAGCCCAGTTTACGGTGGTAACTTTGTGCCTGTTTATTACCTTAAAAAATGGGATTAGAACTAGTATTAGTTATTCAAACAAGTGACTTTTGAACTGACATTTTATGTTTTTAAGTCGTTATTTTCAGCACCAGGTCGCCATCACCACCAACTCCGCCAAAACTCATTGTTGATTCACTAGTTGATCTGACTGGTACAAACCAGCTTTGCACAAAAATCGCCAGGTGGGAGTCACAAAACATTGTGTTCAGGTGTGGCCTCTTGTTCCTTGAGAATGCAGGCTGTGGCTACTTCTGTCCTGCAGAGCGGGGTACGGGGGTTCGTGTTCTGGCTACTGGCTGGGATTTCAGAGGTCAGTGGGAAGAGAAGAGGAGAGGAGAGGAGGGGAGAGGAGGACAGGAGAGGGGAGGAGAGGAGAGGGGAGGGGAAGGCAGGGGAG